TCTTGAAGCGGCAGATATTCAAATAAACTAAAATTATAAAGTTAAAATGTACAATTGTAAACAAAAACGTTTTAAGTACTTATATTAATATTTGACTATAGAACCAATAGCAAATTAGTGAAGGAATGATTGGGATAATGTGGACAAGATGATTCCACTGACAACGTGAAAATAATGGTGCACGATTACAGCTGACGTTCAGAGAAGAAGCATTGTATAAGAATGCTTCATATATGTATAGAAATAAATTAAATTACAATTTCTACTTGATGTAAAGTTTCCCGCCATTCGCTGGGCACAAAAATTAAATCTCTATTTCTCTCTTATCTTACTCTATCATCTTTTATAATTATAGCATCGTACTTCTGCTAGTTGATCCATATGCCATTATTTTTCAACATACTTGGCACCTGTCCATGCAACTTTCTTACGCCCCTCCGGCGGTCTCTTTAACGCAGTCAAAGCGTGCCGGATGGTCAATAGAGACTTTGAGCGCGGGCAATAAAAAATGCGACACCAAATCATTTTGCGCCACAAAGAGACAATGGCTCGAACCCAAATATAAAGCGGTGAGGTGACATCGAGGAAGGCAACAGGGACAGGGGCAGAGGCAGAAGCAGAAGCAGAGACAGTGGCATCAAAAGCTATTCAAAACAAGCGTCGAATTCAAACTTGTCACGTAATAAAAAACAAGCAAAAACAATAAGCGAAAAGCCAAAGCGAAAAGCAATCGCTCGACAAATAATAAAAATGAAATAAATTTGCATTTTTGTCAAAGCGAATAACAACAACAAAAAATAACATCATTGACAACAACAAAAACAATGGGAGGAAATTCGACAACAATATACAAATCGCTGTTTGATTTCATTATGTAACACAAAAAACAATAACATGCCGCCTGAAGCCGGTCAACACCCCACCAGCAACGGCCTTCCCCCCACCCGACCCACAAACACATCCATTTCCTCTTTGTCGATTGTCTTTTGAATCTTTTTTGTCGCTTTTGCTTTTGTTTTCTTATTTTGTTTTCTTTGCATTGGCGTTTGTTTTGACACAAAAACCTGATATCTCCAATTAGATTTCAAATTGAATTAATTGAATTGCATTAAAATGATTTTGTGCTTTGTGGTCCTGCTCCCCTTTCCTTTCTCTTCCTTTCCCTTCCTTTCCAGCACCAATGCATTGCATTTATTTGCATAATTCAAAGATACTTCATTGGGCAGATAGAAGCAATGAATAATATCTGATTTTTTCGCTTTTATATACTATGTACGAGTATGTATGTAAATGTATATTTGGTGTATTTTTTGTATTCCGACGACTGGCATTTCAATTTGCTAAAATGTTGGAGAGGGGCATGGAATGCTCAAAGGATTTGTGTATTAATTATAACGCGTTAAACTGAAACTTTTATTCTTTTGCGCTTAATAAAGCGTAAGCGCAAAGTTTTTTCTCCTCGCCTCGCTTTACTGATTCCTCTTATTCTTTTTTTTTTTGTGGTTGCCATGACGTGTAAGCGGAACAAAGAAAAAAGGAAGCAAAACTTTTAATTCCGCTAATGTCGATTTTTAGTTAGTATAAGGACGCACACACACGCACACAAAAACTTATGAGAATATGAATTATGTGGGCGTGGTGTATTCCTGAGCTGAGAGCGTGTGTCACGACGACACAAGCTCCAACTTATGCCCCCTCCATCGGTAGGTGTGTGTGTGGAGGCGCAAAATTTCTGCCTAAGTCGGCTTAAATATTTCTGCCAAAGTATGCAAAAGCAGCAAACTTCTAGATCCGAATCACTAAAATGCCTTACCAATGACAGCCATGGAAGCATATTACAGAACATATGAACACATTCATTATGTACATACGTTTTTACATACGAGTACATATGTATATTCACGACTAGTTACTCAAATTATATTATGAATCTGGCACAGCATATTTAAAAATGCTTGATGTGCAAGACTAGTCTATGCATGGAGCGAATACAAAAATTTTTGAGGCAAAGGCGGGGATTATAATATTATCTGATCACATTTGACTCCGACTATTTGAATACAAATATGTATTATCGCCTTTAAAATAAGCTCCTTCCGAGCTTAAACATATATGCCAACGGTTAATCCAATACATACATTTGTTGTAAGCCCCGACCGGATGGACTTTAGTTTCTTTAAGGAATGACTATACGGCCGCAATCAACTCATTGCTCGAAACGCATATTTGAGTTTAGAAACAGGGCGATGTCACTAAACATCAAATTATACGAATAGGGTGGCTGACCGATGACTTTTACTTCGTGTTTCCTCAAAAATTCAGTTAATCCTGCTGGAATGTGACGGCGCATTATGAATATCATGAATAATTCTTGAATTGTTGGTTTGCTATAAGCCTTGAACCTTAACAAAAATGTGTTGATCCATCTCCTATTTACTTCAATTTATCAGAGGTGGACGACTTGCATGGAGCAAGATTTCTAACAATTGTATAGCACTAAAACACTTGATTTCGATAAGATTGAATTCCCAAAACACTTTTGAAACAGTTTAATTAATTCCGTATAACTAAAACCGGCTTAATAAAACCCATATAATGTATTGTTGGCATAAAAGGATGCAACTCTTCAACAAATATAACATTAAAGGCGTTGCAAAAAAAATCTCATTGCTCCACAATACATATCCAAGTGAAAATATAAATCTATCTATATCTACTTGTATATTACAGTAAGTCCAGCTTATATCAAAGCTATGTAGATTCTACTTTGTAGGAAACTGCTCCTTCGTTTACATCCATTAAATATTAATTAAAAAGTGACGATCACCAAAACTTTCCATCAAATTAGGAGAAAACGCCAGAAATGGATTAGAAAATCCAAAATGTTACTGGATAATCAGGCAGCAGGTAATTGAAATTTGTTAATGCTAAAATTGCTTTGCCACACACCCTATTCATTAGATCTAGCCTTCTTGCATTATTTCCTTTTCCAAACTTGAATAAATGTCTCGATGGTAAAAGATTTGCCAAAAATGTAACGAATGTTTTCCCCAAAGGTGTAAAAAGTTAAAAATGATTCAATTCTTTAGCGCACCTTTAAGCATTTTAGATAATTCTGAAGAGTAACAAAACAAATTTGCTGAATTACAAGTATGTTGTCCTCACACCCATCCGCATTTGGAATTATGCATGGCATTGATATGCGCATCCAATTTCCAAATCACACCTTCATGTCACAAATGAATTCATTTCAAAACTAATCGCGATGAAATGTGTGCACAAATGTGCTAATTAAGACGACAAACTAATTTGGCTTAATTAATGATGAGCGATTAAAATGCGTTGCCAAGTCACTGACAGCCACACATAGTGTACGGGAAAGACGAGAAACAACCCAGCAGTTAAAGATGAAGACGATAGTCGGAATGCGATGGCAGCAAATACGATTACATATTTAGTGGGCAGCATTGCATGAAAAGCAATTTAACCCATTTTCTACCGGTTTTCACAATTCGTTGTCCACTTCTCGTATTTTGACAAAGTCAAAATTTTCCACTGCAAGCTTTCGGTTATTTTATAAATTCATGTATACTATAAGCTGCAAACACTTTAAAAGCCGATAGCAGTTAAGGTATTGTCAAACAGGCAAATAATTTATTTTCGATATAAAAACAACAATGCTAAATTTCTATATGTATATCGATAATAATTCTTTGCTCAGAAATGTATACTTTAAAGGAAATTCACTTTACTTTTCACAGATATTTGTGTCAAATTTTTACGAATTTAACATTTTTCTTCTTTATATTTATTTCTTCAAATAAAAAAGTTTCCCGAAAACTAAAAACAAAACTTAATAAAAATAAAATAATAATAGAACAATAATAATTAACAATAGCAGCACAAATTTGCATCCCAAAATTCCTAACTAAATTACCGAACATAGAAATAAAATATAATGAAATAAACATTTTATGTTTTTGTTTTTCAATTTAAGCAGCTAACGAACCATAAATGACTCCAATCGTGTTGGAAAATATATACATAAGTATTTATAAAAAAAATGTATTAAAACTTAAATTGCGGCGTGGAAGAACCGGGTACCCTTTACTCTTTAATTAATATAAAGATCAGTAGAAATGGATCTACATTTCGGAGCTTAAATATTGTGGAACCATGCTTGTTGCAACACAACATTTAGTTAAAACCTTTTTCTATTGAAGCAAAGTTTTTTTAAATAATTTTCTTAATATTTAATGTACACTTGTACCTAAAGGGTTAAAGAGCTGACCCCTCGGGCACTGGGCAGTGTCGCATAAGCAACGAAAACAATAACAACAAGCACCAAAGTTTACGAAATCCGGCGTGCCGGGCTCTGAACGCTGAACAGCGCCGCCAGCAACGAACGTGGCTAAAACAATTTGCGAAATTTATTACATTAAAACGTAGACTTGACCAACGACAACGATTACAGCAACAACAACAGCGACGGAGACGGTGGAACACACTTGTCGTCGACGACTTGTCGATCCGATCGATGTGCGCGGTGTTTTCCATTTTGGCCTTAAATTACGAGAGCGAACTTGTTGCAGTCGAATTCGATCGATGATGGACGCACCGCTGCTTGTCCGGCGATCGATTGTGGGTCGGTGTCGGTGTCGCTGTCGTCGCAACTGATAGATTTTGGTTTTGTTTACACGACAACAACACCAACAACGATCGATGTTTCGATAGCAGCGCAGTATGTGGATGGAGGCCCAACATTATTTATTTTTTATTTTTTTTATATTTTTTCGCACATTTTGCATAAATTAAACGCGTCGCATTCGCGCCATGGCCCAAACTCGGCCTCCCCAATCAGTTGGTGATATTGTGTGGAGCAGTGCGGTTCGGCGGCAAATCGTGGCATGGCATCGTCACTCTAAACGCAAAGTAAACAAAAAACATAGACGAACCAATTATCGTGCCAAATCCAAAACATTCAGCCGAGGTGTAACAAAATGTGGCGTCTCTCTGGAGCCATTTGGTTACTGCTGTGGGCGCAGTGGCCCCCAGTTAGTGAAAGTGCGAAGCTTCCCAAGCGAGCCTATCCCGCTGGCGTGGATTTCTTTGATCATGAGTTCACCAGCGTGGCTACAGGTAGGAAGCGTTCTAAAACACCATTTACATTCTTGTATCTACACATCTGTCTTTGGATTAGCGGCAGTTTTTAAGAGACAATTTTTAGCTCAGACCCTGGCAACAGCAAAATGTTGTAGTTATAATTTTTTTTAATGGGCGACTTGATCACAGTATCAACGTTTGCAGTTTTCGAGAAACAGATCCATATGCATGTACATATATACATGTATGAACAATTTTGTAATATTTTTGGAAACTAAAGCAATATTCACACATGCAAATAATGTGCCGAGAAACTTCAAGTGTATTATAAGTAGGCTTTAAAAAGTAATTCGCCAAGTACGCTTGAGTATATAATTCTTATTAGTTTTAAATTGCAATAACATCATTTGCGCGATCATATTTTAAGTATGTTTGTGTTTTAAAAAGAAACTCACCTTGCTTTAAACAATTTTTATTTCTCCCTATTCTGGTGATTAGTATGTGTGTATACTATTGTCCTTATACCGCCAGTGAAAGAAAATGTCCTTCATTCATATTTCCACTTACGCGTTTCGATCGCTTTTCGTCACTCAAATTCCAATCAAATATTGTTCAATTCAAATATTGTATGTATACATTCTACATATGTGAATCACATAAGAATTTTTAATGCACTGAACTTGAAAACATACGTATGCATATACATACATGCATACATACATACAAACGCGTATGTATAGTTTTGATGTTTCCAATTAGTTGACTTACTCAAAACTTTAACTCAATCGTACTTCCTTACGTTTATTCAACGTTTGTATTTTTATGCACAAATGCCCTCTGGTTATGTATTTTAATTTTTTAATTGATCTGATTTGCTTATTTTATACGTTCGTTTATATATTCACACATTTGTAACGAATTCTCATCTATTGCTGCACTTTTCAACTGTCTGCTACATACACTCTTTCCAAAGTCAGACGCGTCGACTCTCTCTGCTCTCAGCGTTAGACATTTCGTCCAGCTGTTTGTCCAGTTGTGCTTGTTCTTTTCATTCTTCGCATATTCCTCGTGCTCCTACGCATGCCAACAAGCGTTTGTCTCCTTTGCCCTAGACATTTAATTTCGTATAAGACGCCGAAGTGTCTAGATTTGCGAAATATAGAATTTCGCGCCTGTAAACAAATTGCATATGTACATACATATGTATGTAGTATACGTACATACATATACATATAAACGTATGTTTATTTGTGTGTGACATGTTAGAAGTTTATCAATATGTTTTCGGAGTATTTTTACCATTTCACATGTTTCTGTCCTATTCGGTAGATTTATAGCACACAAAAAATACCAAAAAAATTAATAAATTGTCTGATTCGTCTTTCGGAGTTCCCTCGGCGCTGTGGCGAGGCCATAATGTATGCATTGCGCCCAGGGCTGTCAATTTCGCCTTTTCCCCGTCAAATCTGGCTGTTTTGCAAGGCCTGTTGCGGGAAAAAATTGAGAATTGCGGGAAGCGGGAATTCTGGATTTTTTAGAAATGTGTTTGGCTTTTTCCCCCTTTTTTAATTTTGTCACCATTCATATAAAAACTATAAGAAACTGGCGGTTCATCATTATTTATCGATATTTCATCTCAATACCAATAGTGCGCGCCAATAATTAAATGTTAAATCTTACAAATGTTAAAAATAAATAAAAAGTAAAATAAATAATAATTAAATGTTAAATTGTAAAATGACAAAATACACCTAATTCTGTTTTTACATGGTTTTGATTAAACACGGTGTGAAAATTAAAAATTGTATATATTGTTACACGACTTTATTCCATTTGGTACGATTAAAAATATAAATTGAATAAATAAAAACACACACAGCTGACCAACAGCTAAAAACCATTCATTATCCGTGTTATATGTGTTTTAATAAAATATACATATATCCTTTTTGTCACTGATTTTAATAGGATTTAGCATTTTTGCATATGAATGTCTTTTTTTACACGGTTTTGTTCTGCAACCAATCTACGTGTAGAAACAGAATTATGTGTTACCAAACTAATTGATTCGCAAATATGATACGGATAGGGTTTACTGCACGACCTACTGTACGACCATGTCGTACAAAAGCGAACCTCGCAGAACTGAATGATTTAATGTAAATATCACCTTACAACAAATAAATTGGTAAAACCATAATCGCTTTTTTTAGATTTTTTCTATAAATTTTCATCTTTTTTTGCCCTTCCAGTTAGTTTTTGAATTAAAAAAATGGCAGCACTGATTGCGCCTTTTAGTGCTGCCGTTAATCTTTTACCGTTAACCGCAGTTAAATTCAACATTTTCGCTATTGGTGTAGGCAGATAGGCACTCAAATAATTGGATTTAGCGCAAGGTAGCCGCAAAAAAGTTTGCAAATTTAGCATACGTTTTAATTTTAGTAAATTAATGTTAAATTGGCAATTCTGCCATTTGTCAACCCATGTGAGGCAAGCGCCTTTTTACACAAACATATTAAGTCAGTTAGGGATGTAAGTCGAAAGGAAAACATCGATGCTGATGTACATCGATGTCTGGTCGATGCATCGCAAAAAAAACATTGATGTTATAAAAATGTAACTTGCCATAGAAAAAAGCTAATATTAGGGAGAAAATCACCAGAGATGTTTGAAATAAAAAATGTTTATATATGACAGTCTCATAGTATATTACAATCAATAAAGTACTCGTAATAATGACTTTTGATAAACTTGTATGGCTTACTTCAAAATACTGATTATATACAGTTTTATAAACAACGACACGTTGCAGCTACGCCTCTTAAGCATATTAAGTGTGGCATGAAGATCAAATGCTTAAAAATCTAAAAATTATATTACAAAATGCACATTTTAATGAAAACAGCAAATAATTTGTAATACAAATATACCTTCTTCGGTAAGCTTCGGTACACAAAGAAATGTGACCGCCCAACAAAACATGAATAGTATTCGATGTTTGGACAAACATCGATGTATCGATAATGCATCTTTAGTAAAAAAAAAACCATCGGAAAACATCGATGCACTGTGGTAAAAACAGCGTCGATGCTTGATACATCGATGTTACAGTTGGAGCGACAGAGATCATTCATTTACGTTAGAGATGGACACGACCACGAAATGGACCGTTAAAAACACGCACGTGTATACACGAGAAAATTTAAAATACACTTAATTCTGTTTTTACACGGTAGATTGGTTCCAAAAGCAACCGTGTAAAACACATTGATCATATGCAAAATTAGGTGATTAGTTCCTTATCTCTAAAGAAAGATATATGATTAATTTGTAAACCGTGTTATATCAAAATCGTGTAAAAACAGAATTAGGTGTACACTATTATAATATTTAAACGAAGTGTTATCCTAGATACGAATCGAAATTTTATATATGTATGTTTTCTCGTGAGTGTTTTTTCGTGCCTTTTTGATTCTTTTGATTGAAATATGTAACGGAGAGCTTCTTGTGAGAATAAAAAAGTTGTACCATGGATAAAATGATAATACTTTGTCTATTGTCCATGAGCTTCTGAAGCAAAAACATCTTCAGGTTTATTGAATCGCCATAGTCACAAATTTCCAAAACAACAATGTTAATTGTAATATATTTATTGTCACAACAAAAGAACATTCTTTTCGTTTTGGGTTGTTTGTGTGTTATATAACCTAACTATATTACTACGAACTATTTTTTCAAAAATTAATTAAGAAATTTCTCAGACATGTCTGATTACAAATTGGTTATTTGTTCATCATATTTTTTTTGCATATATATTTCTGTGTGAAAATAAAGATTATCTCAAAAAAACATAACTATAAAATGGTAATTATGTTTCCGAAAACAAATTTAGATTTAAATAAAATGTAAAAAAAATTCTTATATGCATATCAAACAAACAGTATGAGAATCAGAATTCAAAATGTTGATGGATTTTTATATCACTGTTTCTCTCAACTTATTTAATTCAAATCTAGATCTTTTTGAAATTTTGATAAGACTTATTTTCATAATTTTTGTAAATGCATTTATTTCAGATGAATACGACACGTATGGGCCGGATATTGGACACGATGAGACGGGAATTGATGATCCCGAGACTATGCCGCGTCTCTTTCAGGGAGATATCGCAATAGATCCCTACACATACATAACGCTCCGCCTGGGCGTCAATCCCATGCGGCACCCGAAACGGTTGTGGCCGAACGGCACCATTCCCTTCGAGATAAGTCCGCGATATGTGCGTCAGGAGCGCGAGTCCATTGTACGCGCCCTCAAGACCTTCAACTCCCTCACGTGCATAAAGTTTGTGCCTCACGATGGGGAAGTGGAGGATTACCTGTTAATAGAGCCCCCTGAGGAGGGTCCGCAGGGCTGCTGGTCCTATGTGGGTAAGCGTGGGGGCGAGCAGGTGGTTTCTCTGCAGCGCCCGGACGAGACTAGCGCCCATTGTTTTAGCAGCGAGGGTCGCATTATGCACGAGCTGATGCACGCCATCGGTATCTATCACGAACAGTCACGCGCAGATCGCGACAACTTCGTTAAGATCCATTGGGAGAACATTGTGCCGCGCTTCAGAAAGAACTTCAAGCTGATTTCCCGGAAGCGGGGCAAATACGCCTACGACTACGACTACAACTCTGTAATGCACTATGGAGAGTTTTACTTCAGCAAGAAGAAGGGGGACAAGCCCACCATGACGCCCTTGCAGCCGGGCGTTCGAATTGGTCAGCGGAAGACGATTAGCAAAATCGATTGTCTGAAAATCAATGAACTCTATGGCTGTTTGAAGGGACGCAGGGCCAAGATGTACAAGAGTTTTTGTCACTTGTTGGGCTTGTAGGCTCTCCAGACTATATTAAGTACAATCTTTATGAATCACATTGATTTCGCGTATTTAATAAATTATTTCTAAACGAAACTTGAATCATTATTATACATATATGTATGATATACTTGAGTATATGCAAAGAACCCAAATTATTGTTTTGCTTTGAATTTTTATAAAATTATTGTCGCTCACTTTCAAATTTAAGTTCGCTTTTGCCTTGGCGCCTAACTATCAGCGTTGCCACTCACCCGGCAAAAGGGCTGCCAATGTCGCAGTGCTACCCAACACACATTTTCGTTTTATAAAATTATATAAGTGATACCAAATCAAATTGTTAGCATTTTTTAGGCACAAGCAAGACGCGTTTTCATAAAATCAGCCACTTGCGTGGTATATTTTCTACCCTCTGTTGATTTCCATTTTGGTGCGAGGTTAGGTAAGAACACACGCGCGGTAGTTGCACGGGTTTTACATAAAAAAATTTGAAGCGCTGTGAAAGTATTTGCATAAGCCAAAGTCACAGTTTAAGATGTTAAAATTAGTGCAATATGTGGCAAAAAACCCGTGCAACGCCATATCTGTGCCCGTATGCTGCTGGCGCAACTTATTGATTTCACCATATGCATCTAGCGTGGAGAAATGTATAACGCAACGTCGCCATTTTCTTTTTTCTTCGGCCAATAGAACGACCAGCATCGGCAGTAGTTTTGCTTTTCTGTGCAATCAATCATCACTTGCACATCAGGTCCCAGGAAGTCGCCAGCGTCAACTATTGACCAACACTGACCAGGAGTTAACACTACTAGGCACATTTTTCTCCCAGTCCCAGCGTGCGTTTCGTTTGACACACAAACTCGAAACGTCCAGAGCAGTCGACGAGGCAACATCAGAGGCGCTTCCGACTAGTGAAAGGCAAACACTGTCCAATAGACGTGCGAGGAAATCGCTTTTTACTGATCCCGAGGAACAAGCAGAGGAAATCAAAATTGATAGAATAATGTAAGTGCTTTTGTATTTTAATACGAAGACCGGTAGTTGCCGTACGCTATATTTGGTTTTTTTCCGTCGCCATCTTTTTTCATGCGCTTTGCGCTTGTGTTTGTGAATTTCTCTATACCTGCATGTGTAATTAATGTCGTGTTGAAACGTCGGCACAAAGAGAAAGGCAATGGGCTATGTACATACATATGTATGTATATACATCCATTATAATTTCATCAATAATACATTGAGAATTCAATTTGTTGTAATTGAAGTGGTTAATAATTTTTGCAGTGTACAGTCGATTAGTCATTTGTAGCTATTGCTTATTTTTTGCTCTTCCTCAAACATGCTATTGTATTTGCAAATGAACAACATTCATGGCTTTATCTAACTAAAGTCGCGGCCACGCAGCAACAACAACAAAATGTATGCATACGTCGGCAAAACGACAGCGCACGTCATAAAAGAATTTACTTGATTTGTAAAACGTGTCTTTGCTTCGTTTGCTTTTTTATAGCATTTTAATTTGGCCTGTGTGTCTAAACACGCGCACGCACACAACGAACAAACCCCACATACATATTCCCACACATTTGTATATACATGTATGTATGTATAACATAGCTGTGCTTGTTGAGGGATCCACATCTAAATATCCGCGGCATATTGGCGTGTTCCGTCTGCTCTGCTTTGTCGCACAGTTGTATAACAGTTGTAGCACAGTATTGGCTTTGATTTATGCACGGCCGCTATTCGGCAGCTGTCAACTGAGCCGCGTCTACCCACGATTATGGTTATGGCCGGTGCTGCTGTCCCTTTTATACTGCTGTTGTTGTTGGTTTAAAATGTCAAATAACGCCAATTGATTATGAGCTTGCTTGGCGTGCAGACAATTCGCTTTTTTGCATGTCTAAAGCGACAGGTAGACACAGGTCTCAGACATTTGGCATTCGGCTGTCGACGAACAAAACAGTCAGGGGGTATATGAAGGGTTGACAAACAGAAAGACGAAACAACAAAGGGCGGTGGCAGCCAAACAGGTAAATTGACAGCCCAATAGACAGCGCAGTAAGCACATGCATGCCAACGTGCACATTTATATGTACATACATGCATACATACATATGTATGTGTGCATGCGTGTATATTAATGTCAGCCTTAGACACAAATGTTAAGTTGGCTGCCGAGTTGTTTAGTCGCTCTTGATCGCATTTGCATGCGCGGTGTATAGGCTTGCATTGCATGTTGTTGTCAATCAAATTTCTTATATTGTTTGTATTATAGAAAATTTATTTAATTTTCCTAACACGCAATTAGTTTTGTTTAAGTTTATTGCGGTTGTCGCTTTAATACGAGAAACGGCATTCTTACACTACAGCCATCTCGCTCTAGCGCACGCTTGTCACATTACCACGCTGTCAGCTGTTTAGCAAGGCTAAAAAAGAGTTGCCAGTAAGTTGGGCAGCAGTTTGCCAGAACACGCGAATCGAAGTAGACGTAATCAGAAGCACGAACGACCAAAGTTAGCAACAATAAAGTAGCATGAGATCAGGGTGCGCCATTCACATACGAAATATTTGAGAAAATAATTTAATATATCAGAATTACATGTTGTTTTAATGGAATATGAAAACATACTAATATGTTGACTGCAATGTTACCTTTCTTAAACGAATTCCGTATTTTTAATTATTAATTATTTTTAATTGAATGTTTGGTGTTTAATAAATATCTCACCTCTATATGTAAATAATGTGTTGTATTTAAATATCTGCAGGGCACCCCACGATCGCGACTACGGCTCAAATACCCGTGGCGGCCGCGATCGCGAAGACGATCGTCGCGGCGGTGGAGCCGGTGGTGGCGGAGCTTCGCGATTTGGTGGAGGCGGCGGTGGTGACTACCACGGCGTACGCAATGGTCGCATCGAGAAACGCCGCGATGATCATCGCGGTGGACGTGGTGGATTTGGAGGCGGAGGTGGTGGAGGCGGATTTGGAGGTGATCGAAGAAATGGCGGCGGAGGTCAGGATTTGACATTGCGCCCTGTGGATTTCTCCAATCTGACACCGTTCAAAAAGAACTTCTATCAGGAGCATCCCACGGTAGCCGAGCGTTCGCCCTATGAGGTGAGCCGTTATCGCGACGAGCACGAGATCACAGTGCGTGGTCATGCACAGAATCCTATTCAGGACTTCTCTGAGGCTTATTTCCCCGAATACGTTGTTAAGGAGATTCGTCGCCAAGGATATAAAGCGCCCACTCCTATTCAGGCGCAAGGCTGGCCCATTGCCATGAGCGGTGCAAACTTTGTGGGCATTGCCAAGACCGGATCCGGCAAAACACTGGGCTACATATTGCCCGCTATTGTACACATCAACAATCAGCAGCCGCTGCAGCGTGGCGATGGACCCATAGCTTTGGTGCTGGCGCCCACACGTGAGCTCGCACAGCAGATTCAGCAGGTGGCCACCGAGTTCGGATCGTCGTCATATGTGCGCAACACGTGCGTCTTTGGCGGCGCACCAAAGGGCGGTCAAATGCGTGATTTACAGCGTGGCTGTGAGATTGTCATTGCAACACCCGGTCGTCTTATTGATTTCCTTTCTGCCGGCTCCACGAACTTGAAACGCTGCACCTACTTGGTGCTGGATGAGGCCGATCGCATGTTGGATATGGGCTTTGAGCCACAGATTCGCAAGATTGTCTCACAAATTCGTCCTGATCGCCAAACTCTTATGTGGAGTGCTACCTGGCCCAAGGAGGTCAAGCAGCTGGCTGAGGATTTCCTTGGCAATTATATACAGATCAACATTGGATCGCTAGAGCTGTCGGCCAATCACAACATTCGTCAAGTGGTCGAGGTGTGCGAGGAGTTCAGCAAAGAGGAGAAGTAAGTACTGGTGCTATAGCCAATACCAAGTAGAGCTTATATAATATTTGAATTCGTAGTTTTCCTTCATGAGGAAGGTTTTCAAATATTTTTAAAAACTGGTAGTGGACTCCGTATCTTACCATTACTAACATGTACCTTGTCATTCTCTGTAGATTAAAGACCCTGCTCTCCGATATTTATGACACTAGCGAGAATCCCGGCAAGATCATAATTTTCGTTGAAACCAAGCGTCGCGTAGATAACCTTGTACGCTTCATTCGCAGTTTTGGAGTTCGCTGTGGCGCTATTCACGGCGACAAGTCGCAATCAGAACGCGACTTCGTCCTGCGCGAATTCCGTTCCGGCAAATCCAACATTCTGGTGGCCACCGATGTGGCGGCGCGTGGTTTGGGTAAGTCCCGTTTAAATGCCTGACTTATATTTCTAAGTAGTTTTTGAACGTATGCCTCGACGCGAGGTTGTAGACTTGTAGCACATCTGAGACATACACGTAGGACCGTTGCTGCGTTCACATATACACAGAACCACTCACATCCACTCGACTGACTAGGTATTTACACACATTGCTATACTCACGTTATCCGAGTCATCCAAAGAGAATAAATCCCGCATTTAGACTTATGAACAACATACCTAGTGAAAGCCCAGAGAGATAAGGTTGCAAGTTAAAATTCAAACCCTAGGCTAAGTCAAAAACAAACAAATTTTGCCAAACATTAATAATCAACTTAATTTTCTATTCCCAAAAACCCGTCCCGCCCCCAACAAAAAACAAAAAAAAAAAACCAAAATCAAAAACGTACTTACGTTTCAAACACGCTGTCCTTTGTGTGTGTCTCTCTCTCTCTCTTCCTCTCTTTTCTTTTGTTTACAGAGGCCGTTTATTGTAGTATGATGGGGAGGATAAATGACAAACATCAAATAACTTGAAAGTGTAAAGTAATGAATGTTGAAATGAATGCATATGCAATTGCATAAATGAGAAAGTTCGCATACGAATCGAATTATCGAGACCGCGTTCGCTTGGCTGGAACGGTGCACACAAAGAGCGTCGCACACTTTTTGCCACATTGCCATTGGGAAAAAGTGACGCCGCCAATCGGAGCGCCCACAGCTGCACAGGGTGCAGAGCCCCAGGGGCCATTCATGCAATCGTCTTGTTGAGATGGCCTGGGCAACGGAACCCTGAGCAAGTGCAACACGACGCGCGATCTACCAAATGATACCAAATATATATTTATATATTTAAAAAAAAAATGAAAGTCAAACCACTCTGCTATCCCCAACATCATGCATCATACGTGGCCTCTGAAGTTCCAATTTTGAGAAAGTTGATTTGTGTTTACTGCTCGCTACTACAAACGATATAACTGCCCTCAATCAAGAATTGCACCTACTGTCACACGGCGGCACACTGAAATCTGACAACACTTAGCAGTTGAGCGGAAAAGGCGGCGCTACCAAAGAGGCAGGCGGCACATTTCTTCTCGAGTTTGCAGAGGCTGCTGCCGTCGTCGTCGTCGGCCGGCCGGCTTGCCGGGTTGCTAAGCACGCACAACAAAATCAATACAGCAAGGACAATAAATGCGCATCAACCGATGCTGTCGGGATGTCGCAGCGTATTGACATCATCCGTTCACCCATCCAAACAGACACAAAGACATACATAGACGCACAGGTAAACTGCACGCCCACTTTCTTTGCTTGCCAGAGAACGGATCTTTTGGATGTGTGGTGGAGAGATGATGGGTGAATATCACTAGTTGCGGAGAAGATTCTGCGGCCTACGAATCTATATACACACATATGTAGATCAACCTGCTGATGCTGCTGCGTGCCTAGCTACCAATTGAGCCGTCTGACCGACAACCGCCCGCCAGCCACGCCCGCTTGCCGCCAATCGAAGCAACTGCTAGACGAGAAACCGTGTGCACAGATATAATGTGAAAACAATAACACAAGCGCGCCTATATTCTTGAAGGCGGGCTCTGTGTTGCCTGTGAACACCACCCATGTTTGTAGAGCACCACACTGTGTGCAACACACAGCAGGCAGGCACCGAAAGGGGCGCGCGCCCGCGGCTCCAAGTGATTACAAAACTCTCGACTCGCTTCGACGTGCGAGATCCTCCAACTCTCGCCGCCACTTAGCCGCGTTGCCGTTTTGCACGCTCCACTCTCTATCTATCTATGATGCACAGAGCGGCGCGACGCGACGCGGGGCACACTGAAGCCGAGAGTTTGAACCACGAGCTGCGCAGCGCACCAACTTTTGAGATTTTGATTGAGAAAAATGAGAGTGAAACAATTTGTAGCACCAAGGTAACGTACATTTTGAAACATTTTCTTTTTTTGTAACCAACTAAAAAAGAATACAATCAAAAAATAATTTAAAAAAGAAGCAATATATCAAACATGGCACATGTTGCGTTGATAAAAGAAGAAGCAAAAAAGACAAGTGTGTTCAAAGTGTAAAACATCTCGAAAACGCTAAAAATTGTTGCGAGCGGAGAAGAAAAAAATTGAAGTAAACAAAGAAAGAAAATACGGAATATTTGGCAATTTTAAAAACTGTTTTTACCCAAATCCCAATTGCATTCTGCTTGTGCTAATATGCAACATTTCTCTTTCACATGCCATTACCTGCAGACGTGGATGGCATCAAGTATGTCATCAACTTTGACTATCCCCAAAACAGCGAAGACTACATTCATCGCATAGGACGCACAGGACGTTCGAATACAAAGGGTACCTCGTTTGCCTTCTTCACCAAGAACAATGCCAAGCAGGCTAAGGCGCTCGTCGATGTGCTCAGAGAGGCTAATCAGGTGAGATACATTTCCTATATCTATATTTTATGTATAAGCAAATAAGCCTCTCTTTTTGGCCGGATTAATTAATCATTAATTATTGCCGTATATGCAAGAGGAGGCATATTAAATTGGTGGGATTACGCCTTCGGTGTCCATTGCGGTCTTTAAATCCGTGGGAAAACTATCATCCTTGACTCCCTCCACAGTTCTAAATACAAAAATGTTTTTGAATATATATTATGAGCAGTCAATTTTAGCTGCAAATTATAAGATAAGAATCAATATCAGCCATTTAGGGTTATGCAATTATTGGCTTCCTATAGCAATTAAAACAATGTTTGTAAAACACTTATTAAATGTTATTATATTTCTTGCATTCTCCTACAGGATATCAATCCCGCCCTGGAGAACTTGGCCCGCAATTCACGCTACGACGGTGGCGGTCGTTCACGGTATGGAGGTGGTGGCGGCGGCGGCGGACGTTTCGGTGGCGGCGGCTTCAAGAAAGGCAGCATGAGCAATGGCCGCGGCTTTGGTGGTGGCGGCGGCGGTGGTGGTGGCGACGGAGGCTATGGAAATCGCAATGGCGAAGGCAGACACACGCGTTTCGACTAAACGTCAATAGCAGAAAGCGCTAGACTTAAGTAACTTTAAGATAACAAATACATAAGTTTAAGTTTCGTACAACAAGAGCAAAAACTATCATAATGTATAAACAACTAACTATCCATCAACGTACTCAATGTTTTGTAAGAGTACAAAAATCAAAACACACAATTTGAACATAGCACTTTATGTTCAAGTCGTTTCATGAAAACAAACCAATACAAAACGTAAAAAAAGAAAAAATGTAATTTAGTTTGGCGCTTATCATTCGAAGTCATGTAAACACGCATAGAAACATTTCACAAAACTGCTTAATTTTTTAAAATATGGATGTGATAATTTTAATTTAATGCAATTTATGTATCACTTATCGAAACTAAACGAAACGCGTCGTGTAAGAAGCAAAGATCATTCCCATTTGCTAGCTAACGTCGTGCCGTTCATAGTGACTGGATGACGAGGATAATGATTATATATATATAGACATGTATGTATATGATGGACAATGAACAGAAGCGAGCAAGAGAAATGGTTCGCTTTTGTTTGTAACATTTTTCAATTTACTTGTGAAAATTAACTTTTGGATACCTTTATTGCGTTGGCACACACAGACACAAACAAGCAAACACACTCCTATCTCTATACACTAAACAATAAGTAATAATAACAAGACAAAACAGAACAGAAGAATGATAAGAAACTGTAAAAGAATATTTCTCACTCTGAACTTAAATTCTGGAAAATAATAAATGTGTATACCAACTACCACTCAACAATGGACACGTTTCTGCTTTATCTCGGATGTTGCGAACAAGAGAACAACCAGGTCAGGTTAAATTCAATTAAAATTTAAAGCCCAGCCCAAGGCTGGCTGCTGGTGTTTCTGCTGCTTCTACTTCTACTGGAGAGACTAAACAGACATGCAAGCGAAAGAGCCCAACAACGAAAGGCACAAAGAGCCAGAAACTCAAACAATGGAATTCAATTTCTTAAGCAGCCATAAAAATCGGCACGGCATAACCCCAAAAACAGTGAAAAGTGCTAGGATTGGGTGACGAATGGAGGGGGGGTGGTGGGTCGAGCGGCAACAATTTGCCATCAATGCGGCCATTAGGGGAAACGGAAATGATGTCAAATATCGGCAGAGAAAACAAGGATGGGAGGACGAGAAGGGCTGAAAGGGACGGCGGACCGTTGACCAAGTTGTGTGCTTGGAACGCCAATGAACTGTCGATTTCTGGAGAGCATTGTGTGCCAGTCGGGCAGGCACTTTGTGTTTGCTGAGGGAGGGGCTGGAATGTCGAGCTCCTGCTCTGGTAAGTGTAAAATAAGCGTGATTGCAGAAATATTTTTGCAGACATCATTAAATGTAACACTTAGCCGCACTGAAAAGTGTCAATCCAATTTCTCTGACGCACAATACGGTCGGTAGACAATGGGAGCGGATGGGTAATACTTGCACAGAAGCTATAAACATTTTAAAAAGCACTGTAGTATTTAATGCTGCAGAGAATCAATTTCTGAACAGGAAGATTTCAGAAAATTAGCTTCGTCTATGTTGGGGCCATCGATTCCTACCAAGATTCGTTTGCTAGGTTTCTTAGGTTAAAAATATTGTAGTAAAACTGGAAATAAAGCTTAGTTTTCATAATTTTGGAATTGTGGACCTGAAATTCCGTAGGGGGGGAAATGAAATTTTAGAAAACAACTAAAACTTGTGACGGTTGGGCACTAGCGTTGTCTTTATATCAAGTTTGATCAATATGGGCTCGGCCGTTTCCGAAATGGAGGCTTTCATATAGACGGGCAGATTTTTCTAAAACTATTCATCTATGCGGGTGCAGGATATAAAAATAGAAGTCAATTTAGTTAAAGTGAATTTGATATCTACCGATCTTTCTTCGTCATGGGGTAGATATTATTGACATCTGACGTGTAGATTTGATGTTTTCTTTTGCTTTACAAAAAGTCATTTCTGTGGCTCTAGGAGTCCAGTTTTTTGGTGGCCTAAGCCATCAATCCCGGACATATGACGGTAATTAGCGATAACAAATTGTGATATCTAGTGATATTTCTTTGCCATGAAAGAGGTGTTGAAGTGTGACATCTGATGTGTATGTCTGATGGTTTTTTTTACTCAACACAAAGATTCTCATTGTAATGGTATTCTCATTCTCATTATTTACAAACATATATGCCATTAAAGAAAGGTTTTAACTATACAGTTAACAAGAAAAATAAGTTTTTCTTTAAACATGTCGAAGAGATTAGAAATTTTTAGAATATCAATTTCTTGATTAGTGCGAAATTGAACAAATTCTCAAAAGTTATTGGCTTCTTTTTTCTTTGGCTATATTTAAATGCAATATCAAATTCCGAATCGGAACCAATTGATGTTTCAATTTCGCCTGAATGCTTATAAGCATAGCCCATGGTGCTGTGCCGAGGTAGAGATAGGAGGAAGATTTGCCGAGAACTGGCGAATGGAGCCAGATAAGAAATCGCACTTGATGTGGTGGATGCTGCTGCTGCCGTTGCCATTCTTTCGACTGCCGGTCGCAAATGCCGCCCCGGGCGACAAAGTCGACAACCGTGTCTGACACCACATTTAGACGCAATGAAGCCAATTCACTTTCGACTTTAGCAATGGCGATGGCTTGGGCATGGCGTTGGAAACGAGCCCCATCTGCTGACTGTTGGTCGATCCCTCTCGGATGTTCTGCTCGTTGCTGTCCTGTTGTCCTGCTGCCTTGGCAGCCATTGGAATTTTGGTGTGCGTCGCTCATATTTCTTCTGACAAGTTCTGTATTGAGGCGGCGGTGGTTCGAGGCGCACGCGCCTCCCACTCCCCGCCCTTCCTCTTTGAATACCCATTGTGTCGGCGTTGATAATGACAACTCCAACCGTGTTGCTGAAGACCAAGGGCCGAGGCGTGTTGGAAATGGCTGTGCTGCGGTTATTGAGTTTGCGGCTGGTTGCCAGTGGAATATGCCATTTGTTAGGCGGCTTGTATAATGGGGTTCTATATTGGCGACTATATCTGTGGGTGTTCTATGAATAGCTAAATAGTGTGTGTGTGTGTGTAGATAGACTTTACAATTGCACTCTGATTACATCCTCCAAAGGGGCTTTAATTATTACTTGGAAAATGTTAATAATGATAAGAATATGATTTGATAGGATTATCTGTAGGAACTCAAACATACATATGTAGATAATGATATGTCTGAGAGTACAAAAGGTTAGATAGGAGCATATGCATTAGGCAGATTTGATATTTCTATAAATGCTATATTTATATAAAATAATGTGGCATATTTGCCAAATTGAAATAAAGTATGATTTCATCATGCACAAAAATACATACAAATGTATGTATGTATATCTATCTCCTAGAACTGGAGAAACAACGATGTTTCGATGTTTTTGCATTAATGTTTTGTATTAAATTCAAATCAAGCGATATTTTCACAAATTCAAAGAATATTACACAAACCATTGAAAGTATAACATACATAAATAACAATTCAGTGGTGGACAAGTAGTAAAGAACATCGAACATCGGGAATAAAACATCGATCTCTATTACTTATCGACGAACTGGCAGCACTATTTAAAGGCAAATAAATATCAATGCATCGATGTTTTAGGAAATTAACTTCCCATAGAAAAAAAAACGATTATTAGGGAGAAA